TGGCTTCCACTTTTGAGCTAGAGAAATGTTTGTTATGAAGAGAGAGCCCAAGTTTTCACCTGTGAATTCTCAACCATCCACAAGGCAGAAGACATCTCCGAGATCCCCTGTGCAAACTATCCACATTCTGAGCTGAGAAATTAAGAGAGAAGAGCAATACTACATTCAGAGGGGTTTACCCTAGCATTTTCAGGTCCTCATTTTATCACAAGGACTGGAAAACCACTTTGCATAATGTGAGAGAGCTCAGCACAATGTAATAAAACCAAGAGGGAAGAAGAGCAGCAGCTTGTTGCAGCACCCTGCGAGCCGTGGGCTTGGTTGGAGGTGTAGCGAGGGTTATTTAAGGGCATGGTTACGTGCAGCCAAGGTGCTTCATGCAGATACCCCTGAACTAAAGTTCTCTGATGTACCTCTCAGGCTCCAGGAGCCCCAGGGAGTATTTGCTGGCCGAATGCAGCAGGAGGACACGGCGTATCAAGCGTGCCCACTCCCCTGAGTAAAGGGCTTACATCAAAGATAAAATAGAGCCGCCGCTATCAAAGACAGGCCTTGCTGTGACATCCCCACACTGGGGCTTGCTGGGGGGCAGAGCCCTGTCAGAGAGAAAACAGCATGGGTGAGAAAATACAAGAAGGCAAGAGGATGGGGGAAATCATGTCAGCTGCTATGATTTCTTAATGATTCAAATGATAATCCTTATAATTTGGATTATCAAGAATAATTTGAGCTATTCTATTAAAGTCCTGCAATCAATGTGACGAGGTGTTTTCATGACCACATGAGGAAAAGAGAAAAGGTTTTTCCCCTACGCGTAAAATATTTCTGAGCAAATTCTTCTGTGCAAGTCTGTGATGCGTTTCATGAAGTTATGTGTCTGGATTTGATCTTTGAAAGGAAGTTCATTCTCTTATATTAAGCTTTTTTGGTCTTGATGGAAACTGATCTCAAACCAAGCCAGTTTTGTTAGTAAAAGGTGTACCCAAGCCACAGGGTCTCTGTGCACATCCCAAGTGATAGGAGTTAGATTAATAATTCTGGAGTGGTACTGGCAGCAAAATACCTGTAAATACGTTCTGAGGAGAAGCTGAGTGTTTACAATACAGGAGCTTTGTTGGTAAGAGGCATTTGAACTGGTAGACAGAGCCGTGCTGAGAAAGGGATGGTTTTTCTGCCCTGATGCTACGCTGGCCTCAGCCAGCTCCCACGAGAGTGGATGGGGCAGAAGACAGGGTGGAGACAGGGTGGTCCCAGGAGACCGAAGATCTGCAAGTGTTTTGTTGGGCGCTCTCTTCCCTTCTGCTGCCCTCTTCGTTAGCTGCCCCTCTTACTGAAAAATGGGGTCCCAGATCTGCTCCCCACAAGACCTCTCTGGACGAGAAGGTGCTGTGCCACAGACTAAGCATACTGAGATCTTGTATGTAGGAAATGACTGTGTCTCACAGACCACTATCAGAAACGTTCGGTCTCCGAGCTTCAGCTTTAACTGGGAAAAAAATCAAACACTGTAAAATGACTGACTTAATTGCAGACTGCCTTTGCTTACTGAATTATATCCAAATATTTAATCATAGGAAACATTCTGTGTTAGAAAGCTTAAACAAAAATTCAGAGTTGAAATAGAGGCTTTTTAACTTTGTCTTTTTACAGAGGTAACAAATATTCTACTTCTCTAATTAGTTTTGTGATATTTAGAAACATTTCATTCCTGAGTGTTTTTCGTAGTTTCCAAATTGGGGGGGAGGGGGAAAGGGTTTTCATAATCTTCTGAATGAAATGCAGTCGCCAAACTTTCAAACGTGCAGTTTCTTGCTGCAGTAAAGTCAGTTCTTGGCAGTAGTGATGAACTGTACCATAGGTATTGCACAACTGACACCACAAGAAGCCATATTCAGAAAGAAACATAACAAACTGAGAGACACCCCCCCCCCCAAAAAAAACCCAGCTCCCCTGCCACGTCCTCCACAGTGACTTCTCTGTTGAAAACGCCGATTCCTTTTACACTACTTTTTTTATTGTATCAATACAAAAACATGAGTTAAGCAGGACAGGGAGGTTATATGCACTTCGGCTGGTTTTACACCTTTTCCAAATAAATTGTATGTTATACTGAAGACAAGGACAGTTTCCAAATTGGGGGGGAGGGGGAAAGGGTTTTCATAATCTTCTGAATGAAATGCAGTCGCCAAACTTTCAAACGTGCAGTTTCTTGCTGCAGTAAAGTCAGTTCTTGGCAGTAGTGATGAACTGTACCATAGGTATTGCACAACTGACACCACAAGAAGCCATATTCAGAAAGAAACATAACAAACTGAGAGACACCCCCCCCCCCAAAAAAAACCCCAGCTCCCCAACATTGAATGTTCATAGACAGACATTTTTTTATTGCAATTTTAAGATCAGTTTTGGAGGGCGCCTTCCTTAATCAAATACTGTTGCCTTTCAAGATTAGTGTTCACAGCCTAATCATGCTGCACTTAGCTTAATTTGCTTTGCTATGGACTCATTAAATTCTTTTCTTTTGGTCAGAAACCCTACCATGGCTTGGCAGAGGAACAGGAAATCTCTGCTCTGTGCTACAGGGCTGTGACTGCTCTTTCATTTTAACCCATAGACTGGAGGGTGCTGCAGCAAATTATGGCTGGGTCGCTCTTTCCTTCCTATGTAAAGAGCTCACAACCCCCTTAAAACGCTTTGTCAGCTGAACAATTGGGACTTATAGAGGGAGAAAAATTGTTCTGATGTAAAAAATGATTCAGACTGCCATTAGATCAATTGATCTAATGTTTAATTTTAGATGACCTGAACCCCCAATGGCAACAATCCCTACGACTGATCATAAATTTTCAAGGCTGCTTTCATCCCATCTCAGCTTCCAACAGATCCAGCATTTGATGGTCAAGAGGAGACTTTTCTGAAATGCTACTGTCATCTGGACGGCTGCTGTACGTTGAGAAAGGATAGCGCACTTCAGGAACAACATTTACCCTTATTTGAACTGGAATCTGTGTATCAGAGTACGGTATGAAATACTCTATTGCCACAAGGGATAAATAGTGGAGGTTTTGCACTGCTGCTTTGCTGGCAGCTGTGCGGTGTAGAAATCGCTGTCCTCACCAAAGGTTGGAAACCCATTAAAAAGCTGTGAGGGGATGTGTCATGGCCATCCCTCTACCTGCAGGTGTGTGCAGATGGATGTGGTACCTTGCAGTCTCATGTGGGCCCATGGAAAGTGTCTGTCACATGGAGACAGAGCGAGCAAGAACGGGTGTTTTGTCAGATGAGTTGTGGCCTGGAGTTAGCTCTAACTAAAATCCCCACGTGCTGTAACACACAACCTGTAGCTGAACTGCACTGAAAAAAAAAAAAAAGCAAACTCTTTCCTATCTTTGGTATCTTCAAAGCAAACCTATTTGAATCCTCCATCAGAAAAGAAGGCATGAACCTTCACCATGAAAAGAAGGCTTCCAGAAAGGATGCTGAATCTAGCCTGACCAGCACTGACAAGGGTGTCTCATGGTTGGATAACTGTGACAGTAAAAGGAAATTTTTGGTTTTCAGAGGCATGTCAGGCAGAGGTGAGACCCATAAGTGCATGCAACGAGGCAGTAAAAGAGGCAGAGCTACACTTTTAGCAGCATACCTTACAAAATTTGGCTTTACCACACTGGTGCACCCACAGCTCTTGGTAGTATAGCTGCATCCTGGATTCGCTGGACACCATATTCATGTCTTCCCATTTTCTATACTATTCATTGTGTTACAGAGACTCTCGTTTAGAAGAAGTAATCTGTACATGTTGACAAAGAAGTATTTCTGCCAGTAAGGCCTGTTTTGCTCCTCTAAACGGAGCAAATGCTCCTCTAAATCGAGCAAATGGAGCATAAGCTCTCTCAACATGAGATGGATTTCCTGGGGATCTTATTGGCAAACTTATCAGATGAAGACACTATGGAAAAGCCTTGCTTTAGGACAAATAGGCCATGTTTTTAAGGAAGATGATGCTAGAATATTTAAGAAATTTTTGTACCACTGTGACCCTCATTATTTGCTTTTCTGGACTATTTTTCCTTAATGAATCTAACTGCATAAAATGTCTGCAGCTAATGCTGGATTCTCATTTTAATTCAAGTATTTGGTGACAATTTTCCCTACGATTATTTACTCATTAACACTGGTAAGTTCTGAAAGATTTTTTATACTTGATACATTTACTAAAACTGGAATCATGCCCCTTATCAACTTTTCAATTACAATAGTTTGGAGAGAACACGCTGCTAACTTGAACTTTGCAATTTTTGGCTATGTGGCTTCACGTGTTATCCCAATAGGAGTTTGATTCATCAGTTTCTGCCTGAAGCAAAACTCTCTTAGGGAGTCAAGGTGGATTTGCTTAGGTAAAACCTGTGGGATTTTCCTCTACTGGAAAATGAATACAATTAGCGAAACACATGTTTAGAAGGACAAACTGCTTTCAAAAGGCACAGGTAATACGCTTTTTGCAGTGTAGCATGTACTCAGCTGTGAATATTTCTTTTAAAAATTAAGAAGAGCTAAGAAGAATTCTTAATTAAGAATTCCTAAGAATGAATTAAGAATAAAAATAATTATTTTTAAATTAGGAAGAATTATGAAGAATGAATTTCTGTCACAAGATTTAACTTGCAGGACTGCTAATGTACTGTTTGTTGGGGGCTTGCTTGGTCCAGCTGTCCTAGATGAAGATCCTCTGTCTACTTATTTAGATCACTACTGATAGTAAATGTTGTTAAGAACTTGCATATATGTGATGAAACATTGCCTGCATTAAGTTTTCTAACACACAAAAAAACCCCCCCACCTGCATTTAAACAAAAGTAACTGAAGGGAAAAGCTGAAAACTTTCTTTTTTTTGGGTTTTTTTTTTCTGTTGCATGACAATGCAAGCAGGAATTACTACTTAAAAAAAAAAATCTGCTGGTGTGTGCTTCCTGTTCCAGTTTGTTTAGTCACAAGTCTGAATTAGACCTCTCTGTTGGTTGGTTTCATTTACTATAAACAGGTCTTGTGCTTTGTTTCAATACATCAAAGCCCATAGCCAGGCACAGACAGGTAACGTAAAAGGGGGTGAGAAAGTTTACAGTCTTGTTTCTTTAAGCCTTTGAGACAATGGGCAGAGGGATCACCCGGAGGTTAAAAGAAGGCTTGGCTGTTTTTATTTTTTATAAACTGGTTTCTCTTTTCTTCCTTTTCTAGAAACCACATGTAACTTTAGGTCAGAAAAGGGTAAAATGTGGCACTTCCTTAACCAGCGTTACCGCTGCCTTGGGGTGACTGGATCAGGCGAAGATGTAGGCTCCTCTCCCTGCCATGCTGACGCCTCCGATGCTATCCTTCAGGTAAGTACCAGAGGTTTATTTTCTTCCCAAATCTCCATCCACCTGAAGGATGCAGATGGCTGAGGAGGGTATTTTCTCATGACTGATACTGCCAAAAAGAAAAAAAAAAAAAATCACTAGTTAAATGACTAGTTTAGCCCATTAAAGATAAAAGGGAATCACTCCCTCCCACAGCATTTTTAGTAAAGCTGCTCTAAAAGTTCGCTTCCTTCCAGCCTTTGCATCTCTCCAGGTTTCCCTCTCTCTTTTCTTCCTTTCTCTTTCTTCTTCTTCTTTTTTTTTTTTTTTTTAATCTGCCCTCTTAAAACAACAGGAATGCTGCACTGGCCTTCAGCCAGCCAAGGCTCAGCGAGCAGGGTAAAATTTCAGTTCAGATTTACGGGAAGGTGTTGGGAGTAAAAATCTGGTTTGGTGAGTTTAAGGCAGGGAGTAGTCAAGAGACAACCTTGCTACTGTGAGTGGGGAGAGAAAGGGAGGAGGAAGGGGGGGGAGGATAAAAAAAAACACCACCCAGGCTGGGGATGAGAGACCAATTTTTCCCCTGTCCGAGTTTCGGTGCGTATTCCTGAGCTCCTGCAGCCTTATCAAGTTTGTAGGCAGAAAGTCGGGTCTGGGAGTGGAAGAGCTGCGCAGTGCGGGCGAGGAGCTCAGGGTCCCGCTCCGTGCCCTGGAATGTGCGGCTTAGGGCAGGGGTGAGCAGGGGCTTTAGCTTAGCTGGTACTAATTGCAAGTTTTAGTGTTTAAAAACTCTGTTTAAAAAAAAAAAAAAAAAGAGAGAGAGAGCAAAGAGCCAAGAGAGGGGGGTTAAGGCTGGGAGAGCTGTTGCTCCAAGCAGCAGCGTGAGGAGTTGCTCAACTCTCATCTAGCAGCGGGGTAGAGAGGAAAATGCGCTAGGTTGCTGCCCCGAAACATTGCCGTTCCTGCGGATGGTGCTGGGTGCTGAGTCGGGCTCCAGGTAGGTACCGTGGCTAAGAGAGAGAGAGCAAAGAGCCAAGAGAGGGGGGTTAAGGCTGGGAGAGCTGTTGCTCCAAGCAGCAGTGTGAGGAGTTGCTCAACTCTCATCTAGCAGCGGGGTAGAGAGGAAAATGCGCTAGGTTGCTGCCCCGAAACATTGCCGTTCCTGCGGATGGTGCTGGGTGCTGAGTCGGGCTCCAGGTAGGTACCGTGGCTTTTCGGTTTGCTCTGCTTTTCCGCCGTCCTTACCTGAGGGTTTCCTCTTCTGTGATTGGGCTGACAACATAAGAAGACAGAAGTTCACTCAGAAAATAGATTTTAAAATATTTTTAGGGGGAGAAGGTAAATGGAGAGGATGGCAGAGATTCTTGGTGAAGTTTCAGTGTCTCTTTCCAAGTGATGGATTTCTTGTGACTCTGAGGAAAGGCGACAGATGAGAGGTGAGAGCGGATATTAAATAAGGACAGAGCGAGAAGTGATCTGCAGATTTGAGTTTTGAATTAAAAGATGCATGTTTCTCCCATGTCAAATCAAAATGACACCACGACGTGCCTAGTGTCTTTGGGGGGAATTTTGGAAGGAGTATTTTGTTTGTATGGCTGTTTCTTCTTTTTCAACATTTAGAATGCCGTAGTTTGTGCAGAACGCGGAGCGGTGGCACAAGTGACAGGGAGGTGACAAGTGGGCTCTGAGATAGGCTGCTGTCTGCCGCTCTGTTAGAGGCATTAGCATAAGAATGGGATCTTATCTGGGAAAAGTTTCTGATGGTGGTTTAAAATACATGTATCGCTGAAGCATCTCCTGCACTCTGAGGTATGTGTGATTAGATGAGAAATACCAGGGACTCCTTATCCATGTTAAAAGAAATAGATTATTTTTTTTTTTAGAGGGAAAGCTACACAGTTCATTTCTTCTTAGGAATTTAAATAAAACTTTGAGCTAAAGCCAAAGTATTGTAATACTTAAGGACGGGCTGGGACCTAACAGATCACAAAATGCCTCCTAAATTTTATCAGCTCAACTGGGCTGACCTGGCAGATGGCAGGACCGTAAGACCGGGCTGAAATGAGCCGCCTGAGGCTAACGTAAATTGAATATCAGTGCCTTTCTGTGCCTCCTAGACTTTGCAAACGATAATTTGGACAAGCCTGCAATTATTCTTTACCAGTTGAGCCGAGTTCACATGATGCGAGAGGGGGAACTGGGCGTCTTTCGCAACCGAGGCGGCGGCGAGCGGCCGGGCACAGGCCGGTTGCCAGCGGAAGGCAATGCGCACTCTCGGAGAGGAGACGGAGATAACACTGGGAATACGCCAGTGTTTGGTGTCCGCAAGCTCGTAGCGCGAGTGCTAAAGGCTTAGCAAACTGCTGCCTGGGAGATAAATGAAGAGACAAACACTTCCCTGGTGCGTTCCTTCTCTCGCCCTCTCTCCACACTCCCCTGCATATTCCCGTCCCTGGAGAGGTTTTTCTCCTGGCTTTGTTTTAAAGCCCTGTGCCCGCCGGGGAGCTGAGGGCAGGTGCTCCCGCCTCGCCTGCCTGCCCAAGGAGACCCCGGCTCCTTCCCCTGCTTTCGGGTGCTGGTACCTTCTGAGACACAGGCTGGGGGCCCAAGGTGTTGTTAGGGAAATATTTAGAGTTGGCTGGCATGTAAATACGATGGCTAATCATGTGTGTCCCCGCAGCAGCCCAGGATGCGAAATCTTTGTCTGAAGTTTCAGAAAGTAAAGGAATGTGCTGCCTTCAATACACCATATTTAAAAAAGGTTGAAAACTTTGGAATAAAAGTATTTAATATAAGCCACAGAGATCGCAAAACTTTGATGGAATACTTTCTGTTTCAGTGGCATTTTGGTCTGAAGCCTTGACCTTGCGTGGCCCCGTGCCTGGCCGGCTTCGGCAGGGCTCTCCCCAGCACCAGGGTCTGCTTTTGGGGATGCCCGAGGCCTTGGCTTCCTCCATGTGGCCTGTGCCCCCTTGCTCCTCTGCTACCGCTCTGTGAAATGCTGCACCCTCTTCTGCGAAAGCTGTGAGAGCATCTGACAGAAGGCAGAGGGGTTTGCTTTTGCTTGTTGGGATATTTTTTTACCTCTGTCAGCTGTTCCTCCCTATGACATTGAAGACCACTTGGGTAAAAAGCTAGAAATGATGTTTTTTTTGTAGCTGATTAAAAATATTTAATCCCAGCAACATAGATGGTGCTTCATAATTCTACCGTCACAGATTTATTATTGGCTCTGACAACCAATGAGATCGATTTTTATGGTTTTAGGTGTTTATTGAAACCCCATTCATTGGGTTGGCGATGAAATATTGAAACTGTATGAATCTCCTATTTCTTTAAAGAGCAGCTAGAGAAGAAGATCTGGGGGTTACTCTGGAGTGGGCATACAGGCACCTGGTGGTTTACTGTATTGGAGTGACAAACCTCAGCAGATGCAATACTACACTGATACGTGAAACGATGACATAATCTTGACGTTTTCATTCAAACCTCTGGCCCTGATCATCTGTGCATATTTTCCCAAATCAACATTGCTCTGATTTATTGAGAAATTAAATTAGGGAAAATATGTGCTTTTTTGTGAAGAAATGTTGCCACATCCTGTTCCTGTTGAAAATAAGAAATCAATGACTTGGACGAACATAAAGATTTTTATCAGGTATTGGTATTTATTATTGATATTTACCTGATATTTTATCAGGTAAAGATTTGTATCAGGTCTGCTTTGTAGCAAGGAAGCAGATCTGAGAGACTAACTATGAAGGGGCTACCTCCATGCCTGTCTACAGGTGTTTGTAGTCACCTCCTTCGTCCGGAAGTTGAGATCTCCAAATTGCCGATGACCTAAACTGACAAATCCTTCCTTATATTGTAGTCAAGTCACTTTGAAATTTGTTTCATATGGGGATTTTTAGGTGCAATTTTCAGGGTTGTAACATGGCTCCTGTGAACTGGATGTTTTTGTGTGCTGCTTTAGCAGAAGGAAGGACTCTGACCTTTATCTTTCCAGTAAGAGGCCTAAAATAATATTTCTTTCTGCTCTTGTAATTTTTTTTTCAATAAAATGCTTCTGGGTACACCTAGCTCTTGCCAAGATCAGGAATATCTTCTCAGTAGCCTTGCTGAGACAATGCAGGCTTTGTATAGCTGCGGCTGTTGGGGTTTTGGTGACACAGTGAACTCAACAGAGCAAAGCAACTTCTTAGTAACTGCAAAGCTGACTACCTGGTATTTGAGGGCATTTTTGTCTTTTCCAGGCTTTTCATTTGCCAGGATCACAAGCAAGCTTTCATTTGAGAAGGAGAGGGGTTATTTATATTTTTTTAAGCGTCTGTTTTACAAAATACATGTGAGGTCTGGACATTAGCTTTTACCTAGCTTGGTTGTAAAGCTGAGACTAAATCAGTACAGATGGGCTTATTTGGCACGAGATGGAAGAAACTGCAAATGCACAGGAATCCTCTACCAAGAATCATGATATAAAAGTAACTTTCAGCTGTTTCCAAAGTGAGCATGGCTTAACCAACCACTAACAACCGAAATGCTCGCTGTCCTATTCACCGACGCTGGGGCCATCAGGAGGTTTGCTCCGGAGAAGCACCACCCCAAATGATGTAGCACAGGATTTGCATTCGTATTTTGGTCTTTTGAGTACCCAATGGATGTACTTGAGTTCTACCTTTGAAATAAACTGAAATACTGCCTCTGCATTTCTGTCTTTTATCGGAGAAACTTAGGAAGCTCCGCCACAAGTCAGGGTGTAGGTTCAGCCTCAGCAAGTTGAGTTCTTGGTAACATTAAAGACGTCGTTAATTATTGCACTGTCATAGACCCGGGATTCCTGACCGGGGTGTTGCTGCTGCGTGTGTACCTGCTGCGCAGGCGGAGCGGAAGGATCATCGCCGTCGTGCAGGGTTTATGCATTAAATACCTGGCGAGAGGCAAGAAATGGGTTAGACGCAGGGTGGAGCACAAGGAAATGTGAGAGGGGTCAGCTGGGTGCAGAGCGGGTGCAGCACGCTGGCAGCCTGGCTGCTGTTGCA